AATTTTGGAATACCAAATGCTTCAGAATAACGTATAGAACTTTATCATCACTTTTTTGAAAAATTCTCTTTGAATGTTCATTAAGATAATGTGAATATATTTCACTACTATGAATTTCGGAACACCAAATGCCTCAGAATAACGTATAAAATTTCATCATGTACCTGCCACTATCATCATCATGAGAATACACGCGTATTTTCCTATCCTCCCACTCTTTTCAAATGTGTGATAGCCCTGTCGGCATCATGATCGCCTGGTTCTTGTTTTTTGCAGTAGAGTTTCTTAATATACACTAGAGGGAACTCTGGCACTAGTGTAATGGGAGCTGCAATGCATGGCGCTTCAGCGAGCATGGGAATGATGGGTAGTACACCGATTTGTCTAATCTTCGTTTTTCTGGCCTGCTTCTGGCTCCGTGTGTGTTTGTGTGGCTTAGAGCTGTTTTCTCATGAAACAGAAATAAACAAATGTTCAGCAGTTGCGCTTCACCGCTTTGTTCTTTTACACTTACCACTTCAAATCGGGGCACGAAATCGTAAAGGATACGTTCTTTCTTTTAAAACGAAACCGAAACCTGCAGTAAACGAAGCCGCAAGTGCGATTCGCTGCCCGTAAGTATGAAGACTAGGCAAATCCGTGTACTAACCATCATTTCCATAATCGCTGAAAGATCGCAGCGCCAGAGTCCCCTCTGGTTAATTTTAGGAAACTCTATGGTTTTTTTGCATCAGGCTTTGCCCTGTTGCCTTTATTTTCGTTGGGCAGCTTTACCTTTGTGCTTGTTACACGGCTGTTTTCTAGCCTTTGGTTGGTAGTTGAACATTCATGATGATCTTGGGAAACAGCACGAAAGAAATGCTACGACTCTGAAAAATGTGACGCGAGTGACCTATGGTATGAAGTCGCCCATAATTATCTGTGCATGCTTCACTAACGCTCAAAACACTGCGCACAGAGCAACTACGAAGCATGCAGGTGAGTTTAGCTGACCTTCGATAAGATCCATTCCATTTGTCATGATAAGGAAACGGCGACAAGAGTGAAGAGGACGTTGAAACAGCGTGTGCGAACCAATGTGAAGAATCTGCACTTAATGGAGATGTTTCACAGTGTGTAAAAAGGCATGTAGTGATTAATACTTGCATGTTAGTCACCCCAAATAGTTGTGGTGGTGGTTCCAATCCAGGCTTGTTCTTCTGATGAGTGAATCTTTGTACAGCTTTGTTCAACAACATGTACGAGCTGTCTCGATGTAAGGATGGAACGATGGAACAGTTTTATTCCGCTAACATTGCATTTTTAAGTTTCATCAGTGGTACAAGCAGAGCCTCAACCAAATTTTCTCTGGTATCATGCAGTAGTTTGTGATGACTTATTAGAAAAAATTATTGTTGACGACTACGAGTTCTCGTGTATGGTGGCCATAGCATCACTTTTGACTCAGTAACTTGTGAAAATAACTGTACTAATACCATTCAAGAAATATAATATACATCCTAAGCACTGGAAGTGTACAGGAAGTGTATTATAAAATACATATTTGTATAATAATATAATTTTCTAAACAACATAAATAGCACAAACTTGTCACACTTTGTAATTAAGGGATACCATGCAAATTCTAGAGTGTGTTATCCTGTGCCTTGAGCTTTTTCGAAATTGAAGACGTCGCTCAATCTTGGACAAAACACTTCTTGCTGGTATTATTCCTTCACTTTTCTACACATTCCATGCTGTTCATTTTCACATTACTGTGAAGTTTGCAGAACCTTCAGCTAGTTTTCAGCCCCATCAACGTTCCACCCGTCAACACTAGAGCTTCAATATTCAAGCATAGACTCATCCCTTGTTATCAACAGGGGAATTTCTAAAAACTATGAACACCTACTGGCACAATATTTATGTTGTGTATGTTTTCTGTTATGTTTGAGTTTACCCCATTCCTGTAGTAACCTCATGGTAATGTGTATTAAAAAAAAAAGTCACAGCTCTGCCACAAAGGCGAAGCGATGAATGCGATAGCCACAAATTGGAAGGTCACGTGCTGAATGGCCAGCAGATCGAAACAAAAAAAAGCATTCCAGGCTCTTGATTCGCAAGAGCCTGGAATGTAAAAAGTGCCAATTTGCCATTTTTCTGTTGTGTGTTGTTGGTAGTTTCTGTGGTGAATTTCCCATGATTTTTGGAGAGTAAGATTGTTCTTAGTGAATTCAGTCTTTCACTGAAATCCTTATTAAGATTAAATGGTTGGACTGATCCTGAACCACTAACGAAAAAGTGCTTAATAACTATCAAGTTCAAAGCAAATCTGATGTGTCCATACAAAGTACAGGTTGTACTTACTTTAGATTTAGCTTATATATTATTAGCTTTGAGAGTTCTTTGGCATTTGGGCTTTCGGCCTTGCTCGTCACAACTTCTACTTTTCAACAGCCGCTTTTCAGAGTAAGCTGTTCTGAAACCGCTTGGCATTAGTCGTGCAACCGTCAGATCTTGCAATAAACTTTACTGCAAAAGGTTATCGGCATTAGTCATGCAACCGTCGGGTCTTGCGATAAACTTAAAGGTTATATTCATACATGGCACTTACATTGTTGGTAAGACCACGGAATCAATATAGGCAAGTCATTTCTTGTCCTTTTTATTTACTTGCTGTTCTCTTTCATTAAACACTTTGGAAAACAAATGTCATGGTGATCTGCCACCAAGCATGACTTGCGGGTTCCACCCGTGGCGCATTCTACAGAAGACAAAATATTGTCGCGATAGGAAACAACAAAGGGGTCGAGACCTAGTGAACGACTGTTTACTTTCGGTCACAGCAGCCACCAAGTTCTTTCTTCTCAGCCTCGACTGCCACTAGCGCATGACCCTCTCCCCACGAAAAAAAAAAATGCTTTGTCTCGATACAAAGGGCGGGGGTCATTATCCGCCTCGCGAGTGCTTTGAAAACGCAGCTGCTACTTAGTCCTGCAGTCTCCCCTGACGAAGTAACCAAGTGGGTTCCGAAACCTCGGGTTTCTTCAAAAACTTTTGATTGGAGTTTAGATCATCTCCCCACTTTTCCTAGCAGTACATCTTGTAGGCCAAAAAGTGATAAAAAACAAAATTTCATGAACTAATTGTTAATACCACCAGATAACTTGTGAATGTCTTTAAAATAATGTCTGTAATTTTATGTAAACATAACCTAATGAATATTTTTTTGTTGACACACTTTAACTGCGGTTTTATTATCATTATTATTATTTTCTGTAGATATTTGCGGGTGTAAGATCTCTTACCACTCATTGATACAATATTTCCCCATATTTCATCCAAAATAGGTTAAAAACAGGTAGAACTAAACAGATGAGCAGATGAAACAAATATCAGACGAAAAGTATGCAGATTAAGCATGAATAGAACAATGAACGCATTTTTTGCGGGATCAGCATAATGAAGTTTTTTTTTTTCTTATCAATGATAATCGGTGACACACAGCCACTGTGGCGAAGTCATCATTGCCAAGTTGTCACTGCCTTGTCTGTCATCACCACAGATGACATGTACAGCAGTTTTCCAACATTTAAAGAAAATCCAGAGTTTTAGTTACTGGTTGAAGCTGAGTTATAACACGAAGCCTCCACCTTTGTAAACTCTTTATCAATTTGAAGAATTGGGTTAATGGAATGTGCCACATTGAGTACCATTTGTTTCAAAGTTTATAGTTCCAGTTGCTGTACTCCTGATTTGTTTGAGACAAAACATGCAATTAACAAAGGACATCATTTAGTGTTTATTAATGTGCTTAATCAGTACTTAGTTGCCATTGTTAATTAATTGCCTAATGTAGTTCATTATACATGCATATAAAATTCAAGCCCAAACAAGGAAGCACTTTAGTCCAGAGCTTACCTCTGGACAGTTATGGATTTATCACAAGAGACTCAATTTTCGAAACATTTACGATTTCGGTGGAATCAATATTTTGCTGGTTTGTACGTACCTATGTTTCAGGACATGACTCCTTTAAAGCAAATGCAAATACAGTCACCAAATAATTTTTGTAGAGCCTGCTTTTTCAGACACACTGAAATTTTTTAGTCCACTCATGACACCGCTGCCTGTTTTGCAGAAACACTGTGTAATTGGCCTCCAAAATTTCAGCTGAAGCCACATGAAAATTGCATTAGAAAAACTTCTTGAAACTTTAATTTGTTCATAGTGCAAGTCACTGTAGCTGTGGCATTGTAACAGCACTTCTGTTGACAGCATTCTTGTGAAGCATTCTGAGGGATATTTTTGTGCCCAATCATTAGAAGCCTCTCAAAGAGCGAGAAGTGTTGGAGCAGAGTGCCCTATTTGTACGGACATATCCGCAGGCACTCTGATTAGATGAAAAGGAAACTAAGGAATAAAATAAAGATATAAACTATGCTAAAATATATAAATAAAACCAAACAAATTTTATTTAGTTAAAAGGTGCCTTCAAGATTCGGTGACAGAACAGCTAGCACATGCACACTACTGTATGAACATGCCATGGACACATGTGTCGTGAAGGTGTATAAAACACATCAGGGATCTCTCCATGCAAGCTGTTGCACAGATAGGTTTATGTTTGACATGGTCTGCATCGCATGACCCTACTACTGATGCAGTGCTTCGTTGGTTTGTAAGTGCGACCGAGAGAGTACATACTATGAAATTTAAGCATTAAGCTTATTCAAAGTTTACTTTGCCTGTGAAGACTTCCTGACGTATGTACTAAATTGTGAAAAACTGTTGGTGTTATTGCAAAGCTTTTGTGTTTAGTTTCTGGTCATAGTGACTTTCGAATCGTAAGGTTGACAAGTCTTCAGGCGATATAGGCATGCCTGGTGCTTTTATTCACCGTATACTCTCTGTGATTTGATGGAATGCCGGACTGTAGTCATTTGTAGAGGCGTGTGCGATGCAAATGTAATACGTTTTTTACAAAATGTGATTGCTTTCTCCCTTCACGTTATTTGCAGGAAGATGTCAGCCAGCTTACAGACATTGAGAAGCTATTTCTTTACCTCCAGCTTCCCACTGGGACTCCCATTGACACAGACCCTCTTAAGCAGTGAGTTTTAGTTTGAAATGTTTTAACCTCCTTAGGGTTGTACCGAGGCGAAAATCCAGGTTTCCTGTTCAAAAGGGGGTTATGATTTTCAGGTGCGGATTGATGATTATAATCATAGCATTTTTCCTTACAATCATCAATGGGGCAAGTTTAAGCCATCAAGCATTGCGATTGCATATTAGTAGTGGGGAAGAATGAAGTCGTGAATGTATCATGTGTTGCACAGAAACTTCTATGAGCTTTAAAAGAGCTCACTGTTTGACGAGTTGGTTTGTTGACATAGAAACCATAGTGAGTTGCACAACTAAACAGGACACACGAGAAGGAACAGACGAGTACAGGCACACGCTAACAACTGATTTTATTGAAGGAAGATCCATACTTTCGTACATTAATATGCTGTGCAGGCGCACCATTACTGCAACTAAAAAATGTCAAAACAAGGGGCGATAGGAATTCAATTTCAGCACTGTGCAGCGCAACGTAAGTGTTGATCACGTACTCCTCCCCTGTTTTCCTTCTAAAATATACCTCTAGCATTTGGTTCAGGATTGCCACTGGTGGCTACTTTTCGCCAAATGGGCGAAATCGAGAGACCTGTGGCGACCTAAGATTATCACTGGCGACATGGTTAATTTTTGGCGATTTTTGGCTCAGGTTTTGACGAGTTATGTATTTTATACTCAGTGTCTTCAAGAGTATGGGCGACAACATTTTTTTCTCTATTTTATGTCGTTTTAGACCTTTCTAAAGTAGATTCAATTTACTCACGATTTAGTACGTCTATCCTGTTTCGTGCGTGTCTCCTAATTCACCTAGATCCTGGAGGCACTGGAACACTGGTGCGTCCGCCAGCAACCACCCAGTAAAATTTAAGTCAGTGGACTGCTTTGCGCGTCGCGAGGTGATGGTCTTATACTGCATTTTTAGGGGCTTTGATAGCTTTAAGCTTCTTCGAAGTATCACTTCTGAAGGGACTAGGTGAGAGCTATAGGCCGCATGTTCCGCCCACAGCTCCAACTGTCGTGAATAACTTGTTGACTTCACTGCTGTAGCACCCCCTAATTTGGTATGTAGAGTGTAAATTTGTTGTTAACGTACTTTTCGGGTGGACCAAGAAATCGGGCTTCATTGGCAGCCTTCAGAAACTGCAGTGAGGCGAATGTATAGTGTAAGCACGACCACACAGAAAGCGTGGTGCGGGCATTGCAATGGTTACGCAGTACCTTCGGATGTATTTGTTTTGTAATTAAGTTATTTGATTATCAGACACATAATTCCACTGAAATGCAATTCTCTAAATCTGCAGGAAGTCTACGCATGCCATTCTTTTCTTGTTGTAGTGACTGCTTCATCCTGTATTCGTTGCAACTGAAACCATCACAAACTTTTGTTATGAGGCGCTAGCATGCATTCAGGGATGCTGCTAGTGCAAACATGCCCTAAGTGCTCCAATGGTTAAGTGGGTGATGTGACTGGCCCAGGCTTTGAAAAACGTCAGTATGATTTATCGATGTACTATACTTATCGATGGTACCGTACTTTATGGGGCTATACACAATTAAGAATTTTTATGACTACGCCCACCACACATATGTAGAGGGGCGACTTTTTTGGCAAAGTTTGAAGAAAAATGGCGACCTTTGGCGACATTTCGCTCATTCGGCAAATTTCTCTCGAAAGTCGGTGGCAATCCTGGTTTGAGTGTTGTGACGGTGCCCCTGTGCTGCATGTTGTTTTATAAAAGAGGGGATCTTCCTTCAGTAAGATCAGTTGTTAGTGTGTGCCTGCGCTCATCATCATATCCTTCTCATGTGTCCTGTTCAGTTGCGCAACTCCTATGGTTTCTATGTTCTATAAGCTTGTCAGGAAATATGGACATCTCACTTAATACTGTGGGCAGATGCACCCATTGATAAGCTGTAGCAGATATGAAGAAAAAAAACAGCTGTGAACAAGAAAAAGAAAGTAACAGAGAGCGTTAACTTCAAGTTTGTCCTTGAAATTGAATGCAGTTATAATTAAGTTTAGTGAACTTCTATCAAAGTTAGTGCTCCAGTTTGCCCGTCTCGTTTTGTTTCCTGTCCATCATCCTTCAAGAGTGCACTATACGGTCCAATTGCCTTCGTGAAAGGCTTACATTACTGCTTCAAAAATAATTTGTGGGCCTATTTCTTTGTTACCATCATTCTATTTAAATTTTTTTTGCTAATTCCATTGCGTGTGTACATACAGTATATCTCAATTCTCTATCTTGTGCTGTCCTCAAAAGGACAAAAGAGAAAACTGATTTCAGTTGTGTCGGTAAGTTGCCCTTCCACAATGCCAAATATATCACCGTTGCTGTAAGAGGTTGCTTGGAAGGCCAGGAAATGCACAAAAAGGAAAGGTGCTTACTGATGCCACCATGAGAGTCCCAAACCTTGGCATCACAGAGTTGAGTGGTGCTTGTCAAAGCCTGTGTAATGTTTTATTGATAAAAATGGATAGCATTGTTTATTGAACGAGCCAGTGACTTAAGGGGAGATAAAGGTTTAAAAAGGCAAATTTTACACAAACTTACTTATTTTTCATTTTTATTTACACTCACAAGTTTGGTTTTTCTACTTTCACAACAGCAACAAAAACAAACAAGATATCATTACAATAACAAAAACAAACAAGATTCTAATCAAACTCAAAATAGGTGAAATCGATGTTAGAGAGCTCATTGTCTAATGTCTTAGTTCACCTGGCTGCTTGCCATTTCATATTGCATGAGGAGTTCATTAAAGCCACATGCTCAAAATAACAAGGATTGCCAAGCTCTCATGATGGAAGAAATCGTTTTAAAGAAACAGATCTTTGTTATATAGATGAGCTTTTTTATAACCTTTAAAATACATTTTTCTTAAAACCTATTTTGGGCAACTTCTTGTTTTTGTTACTTTTGGGCAACATCATGTTTTTGGTACTTCTGATAGCCAGACTTTTAATACTTCCGGTAGTCAGACAAGATGAAATTTTGCCCTTAACAGGTGAAGGGTGAAAGTATCTCCTCTAAAACTTGATATTGCCTGTGCAGTTATTACAAAGCTTCTTCTTCTTATGTGATTCTTAAAGGGAATGAAGAGAAAAGCGAGCCCCCCTAACTGTCTGCATCAGAGTGCGGCACCTCAACAGTAGCCCACAAAGGATGGGGGTAGGATTAAAAGGTATATATAGAGAGAAGAAGCAGAGAGCGAGGCGCAGGGACAGCGAGCGACGGAAGTAGAGAGAAGATGGGAAAGATGGACACGGTCACAGGAGTCCGAGGACAGGGCACCGCTCAGCGAGAGCTCTTGTCGGCGGCAGGAGATGACGTAGGGGGAGCCCAGTTGGCCAGAGCTACGCTGTAGTTGGAGATCGCGGGGGCACGACCGGTCGACACGAAATCCAGAGAGCGAGTGTTATTAATGAAGCTAAAACAAGCAGTTAGTATGGCCTGAGACATCTGAGAATTCTCACATTATGATTTTTTGTCAATTAAAATGTCTTATATAAGTTATGTGCATTCAATAGTTAATGTAGAGTAATACGAGCCATTGATAGCTCAGGTTCATAAATGTCTATTGACATAAAAAGCTTGTCCTTTAAGGGGAGACGGTACTCGAAGACACTTCTTTTTTTTTTAATATTCACCCTAGAGCAATGAAACTTAAGCTGTTTTAAACATATAATTTCAAATATATAGTTAGTTTTCTTGCAAGTTTTATACTTTTAGTTCTGCAACATGACAAAGTGAGAACTATAAGCCTTTTGCCCCCCTACTTCCATCAATAGATTCTCATAATTTCTTTACCATTGGTGGTTCATAATGTTTTAAGCAAAGTGTAGGATTAAGAAAACTCATTAGATACTGCGAAATATTATGTATTAGACATGAAAAATTATTACGTGGGAAGTCCAAATTTCTCCTTTCGTGGTAAAGGTTTACATATAGTTCTTTTTTATTATATAATAAAAATATTGAGATTTACACAAGATGATTGCATTACCCGAACTTTTGGAAAAATTTGGGCGAAATTTTCTGCAGATCCGAGCACCAAAAGTAGCTGAAAAAAGAACGGGCACATTTAAAAAATGGCAAAATTTGTGTTTTGAGAAAAGCGAGTTTTAAAGTTAAAATTGAATCAGGCACGTAGCCACACAATTACACATTTTTGGGGGGAGAAGGGGGGAACTACCTTGATTTCTGGAAAGGCGCCTTATTTTTCGCTTTTCATGCCAATGCGAAAAAAATTGGGGGTGGGGCACATGCCCAGTGTGCCACCCCCTGGCTACGCCCCTGAATTGAATGTTTATTTATGAAAGACATCAATAAATGGGACAAAATTTGCACTCAAAAAAAGAACACTCCTTCTTGTAGTGGCCACTGTCACTAAAATTCACCAGCACCATAAGTTTGTCTCTCAAGGCTCTTTCGAGCTGACCCCTCACAGACATATCGCTCACAGACAGGGCCACGAAACACTTGCCAAACATCTTCCGCTCCATTTGACAAAGCCTTGTGCCTACTGCAAGCTAGGCAGAAGTTCGACAGGACTTCGAAATCTAAACAAAGTCAGGTGTCCAGGGACTCAGCAGCGCCGATGCCATTGTGGCTCTTGTGGCCGCGTTTGTTCCACGTGCCATCACACGTAACAGCAATGTTGTCACTGCCAACTTCAATCATTGTGAGCTCCCTCGAGCTCGCAAGATTGGCACAAATGGCATTCGTTGGTGTAATACAAACTTTCTGCTCGATAGCTGTAAATAACTTATGATGCATTGGCTTGCGCAAGCCAAGAATAGCTACAGATTAGACCAGCTGCTCGTAGCTCTTTTCTACAGAGTGTGCCACCACAACAGCTTTCACGTTGACAGCGTAGCTATCGCGCGAGCTATGGCTTTCTTCATGCATTAGGGAGATAAATGCGCGAGAAAATCTTGTCAGCTGTGCTGCTCAACGAAACAGACACCGCAAGTAGGCTTCACAACAC